GAGTGAGAGTGAGAGTGAGAGTGAGAGTGAGAGTGAGAGTGAGAGTGACTGAGAGTGGGAGAGTGATTGGGTGTGAGTGCGTGAGAGTGAGTGTGAGTGAGAGTGTGGATGAGAGTGAGTGTGAGTGAGGGTGAGTGAGTGTGAGTGTGAGCGCGGGTGCGTGTGAGAGTGAGAGTGGGAGTGAGTGTGAGTGTGAGTGTGTTTGTGAATGTGAATGTGAATGTGAGTGTGAGTGTGAGTGAAGAGTGAGAGTGAGAGGGTGTGCATCTGAGAGCACAAAGTGCTGCGACGAAATCTCAACTTCGAGGTTCACAAAGCACTGGGCCTGCCACGAAATCTGCACTTCGATGTTCATCAAGCGCTGTGCCTGCCACGAAATCTGCACATGGAGGTTCACAAAGCGCTGCGCCTGCCACAAAATTTGCACTTCGAGGCTCACAAAGTGCTGTACGTGCCACGAAATCTGCACTTGGAGGTTCACAAAGTGCTGCGCCTGTCACGAACTCTGCACGTCGAGATTCACAAAGCGCTGTGCCTGCCACGAAATCTGCACGTCGAGGTTCATACTTGCCTCGAAATCTGCACATCGTGATTCACAAAGTGCTGCGCGTGTCACGAAATCTGCACATCGAAGTTCTCGCACTCACTCACTCTCACTCAGACTCACTCTCATCCACAGGCACTCTCACGCACACTCACTCTCACTCTCACTACCACTCGCACTCACACTCACACTCACTCACTCTCCCACTCCCACTCACACTCACACTCCTCACACTCACACCCATTCACTCTCCAACTCCCACAAAGTGCTGTACTCTATGGTCTGTTTCTACTTGTCTTGTTAAAACCTACTTCTAAGTAGATATAATATGGTTCTAAGAAGGTTAAGTAGGGTTATAAGTAGTGATAAGCCGCATAAGTAGATTTTTACTTAAGCTATTTATAATTGAATTTAACTTACTCATAAGTCAAATGACCTACTTGCTAAGTAGAAAAACAACTTGACAAAAACCGTTGTAAGAAGGCTAAGTATGCTTATATCTACTTAGTTCTACTTAGGTTCTACATATTTCTACTTAACCTACTTGTGATAAAAGTATTTTTTTAGAGTTGTTCCATCCGTGCTTTGGGTATCAAATTTTGCACTTTTGCTAGCTCATGTATTCTGAAGAGGGGGACAAGACCCGGACACAAAACCCGTCCACAAAGCCCAGCCACAGAGTTCAGGG